TATATTCCTAAATTTTTATTTTCATCGTTTTGAGTATATTTTTCAATTGTCTGGCTAATACTATTCAAGTAGAATTAGTTTCAAGTTTAGTTCGAGCTTCGACGATTAGTTAAAGTCCTGGATCTTTCTTTTTGGCACCAAATCTCTTCCTTAAATAGGTCGTTTATTCGACGGGTCCCTATCGATTAATGAGATTTACCTTCTCAATTAAAACTCGTTTTTCTTAATATTAAGTAAAATAAGCTAGAATTTCCCCTATATTTTTATGACACCTTGTCATCCATAGCCATTCTTTTGGCCTCATTTTTCACTCATGGCATTGGAAATTATTGCCCTTGCATTTCATAATTTTCATTTTTTTAAATTCACATTATCACCCCACTGAATGTGTCTTTTTGTTTAAAGAAAACTGTATTGGATAAACTCGATTTTGAGGGCTGTCTCTACACTCGATGTAATGTTGGTGAAGCATGCCGATCTATTTGACAAAGATTGGGAAAACACAAAAATACTTGTAAAAGAAGCTAGGTTCAACGGCCATAAGTGGCCAAACAGATGGTAGAAACTAAACATTAAATAGAATGGTCTCTAACTAGTAGGTTTGCTGATTATGGTATGTCTGTGGTTAAAAGAAAGATAAGAGAGGTTATTGAAGTTTATAGCTTAAGAAATACGTTGAATGTGAGGGACGGTGGTAGGATGTTGAGTAGGAACTACTTATGCTTGATTGATAGATTGACGGATAGTTTGTTGAGCCGCCGTCTAAAAGGAGACGACTCAATTTGTCTGTTCGGTGATGGTTCTAACTTCACTCACACTCGTCCAACATGTTAAATTAAGCTCATCAACAAAACCAGACGTGCCAGATTACGCAGCCCCAGACATGTCTTTCCTTGGGGGGTTGAACATCAATGACTCTAGACTGAGAGGTTAGGACATGTGTTTTCGTAACTTGACTTAGTTGCTTGCAAGCTCATATCTCATTATCTCAACGATTCTTGCTTACGGACTTACGCAGTCTCGAGTAGAGCTTTCTCTTGGGTCATTAGGCCTTTATGATCAGAGCCTGAAATTATCATTTTGATAACTCTGATTTAGGACCGGTATTGCGTATAGACGCTAATACACACAAACATACACTCGAGCAAAAGTAGCTGGACC